GACATAATGTGGATCCGAAGATCCATAATTGGCCTACCTGGGGTTGAAAGTCTCGATAAAGGCACGGCGTTTCGGCGGGTATATCGGCTTCCGCAAGTGTGACGCTTATTTTGAACAATTAAAAAAATAATAGAATATAATTTTATTTTTATATTTCAATATCACAATCTTCCAATTTAGAACTACAAGTTAAAAAAAAGAGCTAACAATAAAATACACTTCAGCTAATTACTTAAAAAAAAAAATTTATTTTCCCAAACCATGCGGAGCCGCACTAAAAGGACTAAAGAGCCGCATGCAGCTCTGGAGCCGCAGGTTGCCGACCCCTGGTGTAGTCAAATGAGCAAACGCTACTCCTTAAGTTGCATATGCTTGCTTTATGATCACATCTAATCTCCCTCTGGGATCTAATATTTGTGCTGTTGTGCTGAGACTCACCTGGCCACAGCAGTGAATGCCAGCTCGACATTCAGTCCAGATTTTGCACTTGTCTCCATAAACGGCACTCCAAATTCCTGCATACAGAAAAATATCTTGTCAGGTGTGTGTGTGTGTGTGTGTGTGTGTGTGTGTGTGTGTGTGGCCATGCCACTTGTCTGTCTTTTACTGTGAGGACATAACGACCTAAATTGCAGAAAAATTAGACTTATGATTAATTTAAGATTGGAAGCATATTCTTGCCGAGGGGTTTATAAGACCTGGGGAGAGATGATCAATACTAATATTTCAAAAATACTTGCGATGGCTTCTGAGGTTCCTGGCTTTCAAAACTAATTTTCTTGTCATTTTGTTGTAATTTGGAAAAAGAGCGAGAACGCAGAATGTGGTCGATGAGAGATGCTCCCAGGTGAAGCAATCTCATTCCGTGTACATGTGAATATCTCAATATTCCTGCTGAGTTTGTTACCTTGACAGCTGCTGTGCGTCTGCCACACTACTCCATACCACTTCATATTTAGCCTTCTCTAACACGCCTCTCAGAGCTTATCTGAGCGAAACGGCCTGGAAAATTAAGTTAGCAAGCCCCCGTCATTTATTCCAAACAATAACAACATTATGTGCCTATATGAATTCATAATTGCACACACTAATCAAGACGCACAAGCCATACGGGGTGAGGGTAGGGGGAGAGAATTCTAGGGTCAACTTTGCTGCATGAGCGGATTAAGTATAGTAAGTATTTTTTACTCTTGTTACATGTGTCAAACGTTATGTGTGCTATGTGTATGGGCACATGTGTGTGTTATAGAAAGCTCACCTTTGCCAGTTTCTCCCCCTCTTCTCGCTTCACCACCCTGTCATGTGTCACGTCAGCCTAAAACATATGGGACAGACAGCACAGAATCAGAAACTGTCACTTATATTCTTCTCACAGTGTCTTTAGTGTAGTTGGTCCTAATGACAAAATATGTTTTTTAATAAGCATAAAAAATAAAGAGACTGTGACCCTCCTCGTTTTAGATGCTTGAAGCTAGCAACTCTATAACAAGCACAATTTATTTAGGACTGTTGCTATTTCGTTAGCTCTGCTAATCTAGTTACCATATTAGCAAGTCGGTATGAGAACACAATGACCTAACTGGAAGAAAAATTCGGTTTATTAATTGTGTGAATACACATCTCTGAACATAAAGCTTTTATTTACATTATATTCTTTTATTTTTTAGCAACTTCATGGCTATTTAATATATAATATTCAACTTTCAGTATTGGCTAGTAGCTAGCTTTCTGCTAGCTTAATTATTCTAGGGTTTACAGAAAATGCTATTACTGTAAATACAGCTGATAAAAGTGGAATTTACAGTCTAAAAACTAAGTCTACAGCAAGTATGTTACTGAACAATTAGATACTGAACAGAAAAAGATACTTGGCATTAATTTAGGATTGTGACTACTGTAAGCCTTAGTCATGCTACAGTAAAAACGGGACAATAAGTTTGCAATTTAGCAAAAAATTGGTAGTTGTTTGGGTGTTTTTGCTGTTGGAGGCTCACTGCAAGTCCTTGCAGCTAATAACTGGTTGCCCAGATGTTGGTGATGCAACCATCAACCTCAGAGTGATCACTTTTAAATACGAGGCAGGAGTGGGAGGCAACCTGTCTGACTCAGATTGACTGAAATCCCTCTAAGACAGATTAGCCAAGGTTTGCAAATCACTGCCATCTAATTTATATGTTGCAATCTGAGTCAGTCTGCGCCGATAAGCACAACCCATCTGTAATGCATGTCTTTGCAATAAGGTTGATTAAACAGGTTGTGTTCTGGTTATATCACTTTATAATCGCAAGGTTGCTGTGCGCATATTGCAGTTAAATTGCTACCCTGCAGCAACTACATTACTATTTGTGGAAGAATTTATGAATTTTTGTTTCAAATCTATGAGGTTCTGTCTAGACTCTAAATGTAAGTAGTTAATGTGAATTTCTGTTTAATGGGAATTTTTGTGCATTTAGTTGGTAACAGATTTGCAATTCTTGTCAGTTTATCAAAGTTAATGGTTTAAACAGATTGAGGGTAACTGCCAACGTGACCCCATTCAATGACAAACTTATTGCAGACTGACTCCATCCTATTGCCATTTTATTGCTGCTTTGACACACCAAAGTCAGTTTGAAGCCTGCAACAGACTGTGCATTGTTTCTTCAGAGCAACCATTTCAAACCAATGAGATCACAAGTTAGTTAGTTGGTCATGTTACAGTCTGCAACTACTGTTTTCTCTTGTGTGACTGCAGAAGAAAGAATATGAATATATTAACTAACTCTTCTTGAAGCGTTCACTGTTGCCACTAACTCCTGAGCAAAACATTTTATTTGTCTGGCTGGTTATGTTAAATGTCTAGCTTTGCTAGTTGTTAAGTGTTCCAGTGTTCCACTGTGTACAGCAGCTCCAGATAGTAAAACCATAAATTTGAAGGCTAAAATCAAACAATGCTAAAAAGCTCATTAAAGCTGTAAATCTTTCCATTCATCAATATGAGCAACCACTTAATGTCACGCTCAAAGCGACTTGATTAGTTGCTGGTATTAATGTGAACTATTGATTAGTTAAGCTTCAATAATGTGCATTGTTTTGCTTTGTTCTGACATAATGATGTAACCACTGAAAAATTGTGACATTGGAAAATCATTTCTATAAAAAATGAAATAATCTGCTTTTCCCCTGCTTTTGTGCATATCCATTACACTCTGGCTCAAAGCCCTACTATACCTCCTGTGATCCCTTCTTCCCACCCTCTATGAATCCATCTGTCCATCTATCTCCCAGTGTTGGCAACAAGGTCTCACCTTGTTGCCCAGCAGCATGACGACCACATCCTGCTGGGCGTATTCATGAATCTCTGTCAGCCATGCCTGGAGATGGAAATAGAGCAAAGAGTGGTGAAGAAATTCAAAACAGGAGAGGATGAGGAGGAAAAACAGGTCGTTCAGAGGAGATAGGACTGATCGAGGGCATGGATAGGAGATAAACACTACTGACAGAGGAGACGAATGAATCCACTGAGAAGGAGAAAAGGGGAAAGAAAAGATTAATTTGTTGGTTGCTGCTCTTACTTCATCTTGTCCTCCCCTTCTCCCTCCTCCAGATCGTCCCCTCTTTGCCTCTTTTCTCTTTTCTTTTATGTCTATCCATCCATCTCCTTCCAATTACAGGTCAGGGGTCACTTCCCTTTTTGCTGGCTTGGTTAAAAAGCCCTTAATGTTTCTCACTCCTGCACACTAGCATCTAATTTCCTACATCTTCTTACATACTTAACTGTCGCCATTTGTATACCAAAGAAAAAGCATGTTTCTATCCCACATTATTTCAGGTTTTTTGTGCAAATGGAAAATGTAAGTGAGCAAGTAGAACTGACTGAAATAAGATGACTGCAGCTAGAAGAGAGAGAGAGATGTGATTAGTATAGGCAAATCCTTCTTTATTGTGAGCCACCAAGGAGAAGAACTTTAAATTTTAGTAAGCTGAGCGTATCAAGGCATTCCCAAACCAGCCGAGAGACATAATCTAACACATCCTTGTTTCACATGATCCAAAACACCCTGAAAAAAAAAGGAAAAAAAAAAGGGGCACCGAGCCTCTATCCAAATCAAACAGCAGAACCATCCCAACTACTAACTCTTTTCCAGGTTGAGGAACAACAGCTGAGCCCAGACTCACTTTGAAAGAATCTTCTTTCCGTTTCTGGATCTGCAGCCTTACTTTTTCTGCATGCAGTTTCTGCCCATAGCTTAGGATAAAAATGTAGATCCACCAGGACATCACAAAGGACAAAAACTAGATTGTTTGATTAGTGAAGTTGATGGGCAAATTCATCTGCCAATTTCCTGCTTCTTCGCCCAAACTTGTGACCACACAGATAAACAGCTTGAAGTAGCAGTTTATCCTCAACCAGGAACGGGCAAACCTTTTCTGACTGAGAACCACAATCCAGGACTAGGAGGAGCCAATTCTCAGCCAGCCACTTCAAGAAAGCCAACAAGACCATATTATTCTTAAAAAGCAGAGACTTTGTTCGAGACCACCAAACTAGAC